CTCGAAGAAACAAGGAGTCAGGGGATTCAGAAGAGTCCCAATGAGTTGTTCTGGGAGACGGTGGGTGGGCGCAATAAGAAGGGGCGTGTGAAGGGACTTGGCCAAAGTGCAGAGCTCTACTATGGCAACCGGATGGGTCGAGCTTCTCGTTCTTCACAGCAATACACGACGTCTGTCATTTCTCAAATGCAAGACCAGATGGAACACAGGGTGCAAGCTCTCCAAACTCAAATGGAAGCCGAGATGGAAAGGCAAATTGACTCCCGAATGGCTGAAATGGATAGGAGATACAAGGAGAGTATGGATGAGATGATGAGTCGTTTCACCAACAACGACTCATGTTCCACCATTCATCCTCAACATCGAGACCCAAGGGACGACCCGGGTAGTGGTGGAGCAGGCCAGGGTTTCCAGGCGATTGCGTAGCTTAGCTTTATTCTAGCATAGAATCACTCTAACATAGCTTTTGTTTGGTATAGATACCAAAATATGGACTATCTTTTATACTAGGACATAATTATTATATATATATATATATGTAAATAAATATAATTTCGTAGGTCGGTAATTAATTTTTTTAAAACAACAATTTCAGGTTTTGAAATGCATTTTTTTTGTGTATTTATTATAAACAAAGTTCAGGTTTGGAAATGCATTTTTTTACAGAAATTTCTTGCGGGCTGGAAGGTCTTTCCGACGGAATATTTCATCGAAAAAAAAATTTGCGACAAAATATTTCCTCACTAATAAAAATTCCGACGGAATAGTTCCTCACAACACTAAACATTTCGACGGAATATTTCCTCGCAAAAAACATATTCCGGCGGAACTTTCTGTCGCAAAAAAATTAATTCCGACGGAATATTCCCTCGCAAGCAACAAATTCCGTCGAAAGTTGTGACTTGCGACGGCACTTTTTCCGTCGGAAATTTGCGACGGACCTACAGTTAAGGTCAATTTCTAGTCCGACGAAGTTATATCCGTCGTAAATTCCGTCGGAAAGAAGATTTACGACGGAATTTCCGTCGTAAAATGCCCAATTTCCTACAAAGCGTTTTTCGACGACAGGTTCCGACGGAATTCCGTCGGAACCCTTCTTTCCGACGGATTTTGGCTAAGTTCCGACGAATATTTTCCGTCGCAATTTTGTTGTTTTCTTGTAGTGATCTCAGTCTCTCTATCTTGTTATTGTCAGTTAGCTTTGGGTGGTTGGTGCTTGTATGAGTCCATAGCAACTCCTTTTTCTCTAGTCTATGTATTGTAACATGAGAAATTTTTAAAGCACCAGCATAACTTCTTTATGTGGTTCTCAATCTAAGGGTCTGCTCTCTTACGTTGAAATTCAGTTCAGTTCAGTTCAGTTCATCTCATCTCAGCTCAGTTTAGTTCAGTCAGCTCAGCTCAGTTCAGTTCAGTTCAGCTCAGCTCAGCTCAGTTCAGTTTAGTTCAGTTCAGTTCAGTTCAGCTCCTAATTTCCTTCTCTTATAAAATATTCAGTTCAGTTCAGCTCAATTCAGTTCAGTTCAGTTCAGTTCAGCTGAGTTCAGTCAATGAGAACAGGCCCTAAGTGGAAATGATAGGAGAAATTCTTCATAATATTATTTGCATTTGGGACCAACTTTACCAAAATTTTTTTTTATTTTTTTATATTTATTATTCCTGACATTAATCAGCCCCCCGCTCTGTTTTTGCTTCTTTAAATCATTGAATATTCTACTTACTGTTTATCTATACACCCCAAATTTAGGTGCAATTTTTGTTTGCATCCCCCGTTCTAATGTGCCATCCTCCATAAGTTGTGTTAGAATTTCGTCAACAATACCTCTTTAATTTGTGTTCTGTCACTTTGTTGCTAACCATTCTCATATGCTTTGTTGGAGGAGTTGTTCCTACATTAAAAGTTGTTCCATTTTGAAAAGAATTTTTTTTTTTTCCGGTTTCAGATTTTGCTGTGAGAGAGGTGGCTGCCCACTACTAAGTAATGTTGAAGGTGCAATTTTTTGGAAGCAGATGGATGTAGATGATGCTTGAAGGCTTGACTTTTTGGAAGCTTGAAGTACTGACTTTATTAATTTAGGATTTTAATGTTGACCTATAATTTTTTTTTTTAACATGATTTGAGGTGTAGTAAATGTTGTATTTAATGGTGGTCTGTAATTTTTTGAATATGGATAAGTGGTGTAGTAAATGTTGTATTTGTAACTTAGGCTATGACAAAAAAGAAAAAAAAAATAAGGAGCCAAATTTGAATTTTGGGGGAAGTTGAAAATTTTCCCTCCTTTTGGTGTAAAAAAACTGGCTGCATCATGTGGGGTTAAAATTTTGGTCTCTACTTTCTCTCTCATTAATTTTTAATCACTTGCCCTTACTTTTGCTAATTTGCTTTTATCAAATTTTGTCTTGGGGAATGTGAATCCTGATTTGTTGCAGATTTTATGAAACAGATGTAATATTATTATAATAGAGAATCAAATATATTCATTTTTTTAAGGAAAGAATCAAATATATTTATTGTTAAAGAATATTTCATAATAGAATATTTACATATGTAAAATATTTTAATCCAAATATATTCAAATTAAAGACTTGATATATATAATTTAAATAAAATTATAAAGAAATACTAGTTTAAGTCCCGTGCAATGCACGTTTTTTACTTAACCTAATTTTTAATTACAATATTAATTTAACAAAAACTTGAAATAGATACTTGAATTTCTTTATAAAAAATAATAGTAATAGTAATAATAATAATAATAATAATAATAATAATAATAATAAAACAAAACTTGAGTTTAATATTATATATATTGATGTCAAAAGTTATTGATCATTAAACATTTAAAAAAACACAAATTTAATGATTATAGGATTTTACATAAGAATTAAATTTTATGTTATTAATTATAACCCGTGCAGTGGCGGAGCCAGGGTTTGTAATCCAAGGGGACAAATTTCAAATGTTTAATAAATCGACAAAATTTTTGATAACATAATTGCTTAATATGTAATTAAAATCGCATATGAAATATGACAAATATTCTTATATGACAAAAGAGGAGTGGTTAAAAGATTCATGCATATATATTAAGAAAATTATCAACCAAAAAAATATTTTTTTGTTGGTAAACCCCAATTTTAAGTTATGTAATAAATATGATTAATCAAATAACAAGCATTTAAATAAATTGATAATAGATATAAAGAGATTTGGGTTACATTCGAAAAAAATAAACACAACTTTGTTTGACTATTAAAATTATTACAATGTAATCTATAAAGTAAAATTAGTTCCAAACAATTAAAAAAAATAATAAAATAGAATTTAAGCGCACATAATTAAAGAGATGAAAAAATTACGGAAATATGTATTCATCAAAAGATCATATATAGTCGAATAACACATTAGTAATCATTATCAACAAGGCAGTACGCCGGTATTTGATTAAATAGCTAAATGAGAGTAGTTAGAGGTTTGAAGATTTATAATACTGTACTTTAAATATACGAAGTATATATTATACACTATATAACGAAATCCAAATACAAGTAAATAAAAGGGAAAAATCCAAAATCAAGAAAAAGAAGTTAAATGGGAGCACTTTGTATAAACTATAAAATGAAATAAAAAAAATCTCAAAAGAGAAAAAAGGAATTAAAATTAAATAAAAATATGTATTTGTGAAGACTCAATCCTAGAAATGAAGGAAGAAACAAGCCCTATTCTAAGCCCAACAGCCACCAGACCATATTCAGCCTTTATGGTACTAGTTGCACATATAATATATATATTGTTATTTACTAAAGTTGTTTATGCTTACAAAAATAATTTTTTTAATTTTTTTTTTAAAAAAATGGGGGGACAGCTGTCCCCCCATGTTCCTATAGTGGCTCCGCCACAACCGTGCAATGTACTTTTTTTACTTTTTTTTAGAGGAACATGTGTAATGTACATACCTCAACGTCCCAATTTTGTTAGCATGTTTTGACCGGCACAATGTTTTATAGCTTACTTTGACCGATATAATGTTTTATACAAATTTAATTGACTTTTTTTTGTGATAATTAATAATCAAGGTTTTTTATTTTTATTTATTGAATTGTAGTGTTATTATTATAAATAAATCAACAAATATATACTTCGTAATAAAAGTTAAAGAGTCAATCCAAGTTGAAGGAAAAAAAACGATACAAAATGATACGGAGTAGTACATTATTATTGTAATATATTACTTCGTATATGTTTGTTTATTTTAGAAAAAAATAACTATTATAAAATAATGAAAGATAGGTTAAAATATTATTATCATTGAATGCATATAGAATATACTTTGTATATAATATAGTTGTCAAATTGAAGGTTAAATATTCTAATGTATATAAATTAATATTCACGAAGATTTGTAAAAAAAAAAAAAAAAAAAAAAAAAAAAAAAAGGAAAGTAAAAAATGGCGAGAAACATTTTAATCAGAACATGACAAGTCAGATTCACCTTTAGTATTATGTTATTGATGATTACTGTAATATATTACTTTGTATATGTTTGTTTATTTTAGAAAAAAATACCTATTATAAAATAATGAAAGATAATTTAGAATATTATTATCATTGAATGCATATAGAATATACTTCGTATATAATATAGTTGCCAAATTGAAAGTTAAATATTCTAATATATATAAATTAATATTCACGAAGATTTGTAAAAAAAAAGAAAGGAAATTAAAAAATGGCGGGAAACATTTTAATCTGAACATGACAAGTGTCATGTCAGATTCACCTTTAGTATTATGTTATTGATTATTGATTGATTTTATATAATGAATGAGATATTTTAAAAAAAAAATTAAAAAAAAAAACTTTTGGAGGGAAAATGGCAAGACCAAAAAGCGACACGTGTCATTCCTGGTATCCGTTTTAGTATTATGTTATTGATTATTGATGATTGATAATAAGGAATGTATAGATGTAAAGATAAAGACATAAAAGTAATATACATTTTGTATACCATGAACTTTGTAAAACTATTTAATCTAATTAATCTTTTTAATGTTTCCAATTTAACTAACATGAAAGATCACTTGTTGACAGGAAAGACAAATAGACACTGTATAAGCTGCTTTACAATCTAAGAATTCATCAATTGCAGCGTTGCGAGTTGAAACAAGATAGTAACACTAGTAAGGGGCTCAGTTACTACACATAGAGCTACCACTAAAAAAGTTTGGAATAACATCAAGAATTGCTAAATCTGTCCACAGCCATATTAAGTTCTTCAAGACCTCAGTAAGACAGTAAACCTTGGTTGTTCCTTCAAGAAACTGAAGTAAGAAAAGGTGAGAGAGAGAATTTACATCTGCCAGTCATGGATCAGTACTTCTATGTTTGCTATGTCCATCAACACCTCGTTCCAGTCAACTATATAAGCTGCAAAATAAATAAGAATGAAGCCAAATATCATTAAAAAAAATGCATGCCATACATATCAATGTCAAGATATAGATTCATAGTAGGCTGAGAAAGATTGAGTTCGCTTGCTAGCTCAGCTTAGCTTGACATCTCAGATCCTAATTCATGTTAATCCTGGAAACATTAAGCTCCATTAAGGTCATATAACTCGAATGGAGCTTGCCAAGCTCAGACAACTCAAAGCTTGAGCCAAGCTCAAGAAATAAGTTGCAATCAAGTTAGTTCTACTCCTTGCCACAACATTCATAGAGCTAGATTATCGTGGATATATTGGTATCCTTTACTAACATTAACAGAATTACAGACACACTGACACAAGCTTCTTATGAGAAATTTTATAAATAATAAAGTTGAGCTATGTATGAGCTTTTCAAGCTGCACCCAAGTCTCCCCAACTTAACTCATTTTAGGTTCCGAGTAGAACGAATTAATTTGCTAACCAAGATGCATCAATTATCCAGACATAATGTATCATAAAAGTTTTAACAAACATGGAAAACCTACACAGCTACACAATAAATGTAAAGAATAAAGGATAATCTGAATATTTAGACATGAAATTTCACTTGAAAGAGGGTAAAGAAAACCAGATGAGCAACTTACTTCATATTCCCACTATCTACATGCATTTCATCTTAGAAATACCATTTTCCATCACAGCAACATCAGTTGGATTCTCCAATCCCCTCTTTGGTGTGTCCCTATCATGAAGGATGTTCTCATCAATTTTTCCCAAAACAGTCTTTCGGCGCTTTCGATGGAATGTAAATTTTAGAACTCTGTCTCTCCCAGCTAACGGACAGTGACTGCTACCAAATTCTTCCGAGATAGGCACATCAATCAGCAATGAATCCTGTAGGGCATCATCAGGAATAGTATGGGACTTATCAATTAAAGCCTCTTTTGTACCATTTCCTTCTTCAGCACACACCACATTCTTGAGTAATTGACAATGACTGCTGCCAAATCCTTTTGCAATAGGCACATCAACCAGCACTGAATCCTGTAATGCACCATCAGTAACAGTATGTGATTTATCCCATGAATCCTCTCTGGTTTCTGCACCATTTCCTTCTCCGGCACATGCTACATTCTCAAAATTACAGCCCAAGTTCAAGTCATCAGATTCTGACACACAACAAACTTTAATCTTCTTAGGATCCATTTCAACTACACCCATTGGAAACTCAACAGGCACATTCACAACACTGGAACATCGTTTCAATGGACCATGAATATGCTGCAATCGTGTTTTTTCAAACTTTTTACGAGAACCCTGCAAGGAAGCAATTGCTTCCCTGTATTTGGCATTTTTTCGAGTAGATCTGCGAAGAGATTTGACCGCTTGGTCTTCGTAACAGCTGCTATGCTGTGATAACTGTCTCAATGGAATATTCTTGACATTACTCTGATTAGTCTTGGAAAAAATGTTAACACTATCATTTTCATGCTGCCTGCAAAACAATGTTTCCTCTGCATTGGTTGTTGACTGAACGTTTAGCAAATTTTTTGGATCTTCAGATTGTGAACTAGGCAGCATTACATTTGGCAAGTTTCCTTGAAATGCACATATCCTTTGTGTTGATCCATTTCTGCATAAATCAGTTTCCCTATTTTGCATTATGATGGAACTACAATCATCATTAGGAGCATGAAGTTGATTCAAATGTGAACTAGTAGATAGGTCAGCATCATTTATGTCTTGAAAAAACCTATAAGGTGCTGTTGTATGTAGAGACACAGCTTTCTTCTCATTATCTACCAATACAGAATTTGTATCTGAGACCTGGGATATGAAAGAATGAGGAACATTATCTTGAGGCGCACATTCTTGAACAGGCTCATTGGTTACAAGGATATGATTATTACTCAGAGGCTTTTCCTGGGTTTGCCTCATAATCTCCAAATGCTCCTGTACTTGATTGAACTCATCCCTGAGATCTACAATGATTCCCTCAGCCTCGCAGAGCTGTGCTTCAAGCTCTTCGATTTTCATTTCTTGTTTCAAAGATCTAGCTTCTGCCTCTATAAGCTGCAAAAATAAGTATTTTTTCTATCAACTCCTCACTCCTAATACAATTACAAATCATCTCATGAAAACAATAAACAGTATATTTCAGATCAGTTCAGTAATAATATAACTAAGGACAAGCTTAATAAGATGCTAGCGGATGTCTAGGTGTAGCTTGCATGACAACGTAGCTGAAAGTCAAAACGTGCTTCATTGAAAAATTAGCATTTAACAGCAAACCATAACATTAATCCTACCTATATCAAAGCCAAATCCTTCTAACACAAAATTTGAACCTTCATGACTATTAAGGCAATTATACATTGTTCTCAACAGGTACCAATTGATAAACTACCAATCTAGTTTCACTAATCTACAGTGTTGAATTTTACTCATATTCAGATTAACATTGTTATGAAGCTGTGTGCACCCAACATTTCATTTGTAATATCTGTTAGTCATTCCTGGGACGCAGTAAGTCTAATGACTTTCTAATATAAAGTTTTTTTTTTTTTTTTTTTAAATCTGATTCTCTAAAATTTCATTAAGATGCATTATTATATTCCTATTATTATAAACCCCTTGCAAATTGAATCAAAATGCTGTTGCTACAAGAGTACCACCTTCACAATTATAATGAACTAAATTATCCAATTGATTGAATTTAATGCTACCAGTTTCTATTGTCGTGAGGAAAAAAATAACTCTCAAGCTACACTAAATTTTCAAATTCTCTTTACTATATATGTGCTTCTTACTTATTGGAAGTATGGTCAAGATGTGAATAGCATTTAGATAAAAGGTATGATGGAAATAATTTCTCCAATATCTGATATTCCTTACCCCTTCGCAGGTAGGAGCCTTTTTAAAGGCATTGAGGAAATGACAATGTTATGCTAGATTTTAATTGTTCTATCTTAATAAAAAGAGTTTTGGTATAGCTTACATACTTATATTGCAAAATAAATGGAGAAAACAATAGGCTTAGCAGATTCCTAAACCTTATACATAGATCATGAGTCAGTCATGAAAAGTTTTGCAAAAGATGCCAAAAGTATTTCACATTACTTCCGCAGTATAGACATTAGCAAAATTACATAAAATTGTATTAGGTTGAGCATCAATGTGAATGAACCTACAAGTCACTTTATTCTGCTCTAGTAAAGACAAAGAACCCAAATGATGGGAGAACCCTGTCTAGCGTTTGAAATCCCATGCCCTTAGAAGATCAGATTGTTCCAAAAAGGAAAACTTTGAAAACTTCATGGTACCCAATTGGGTAGGTTACAGCCTTTGAGGCCAAAGCCCATCACTAATAGATCATACCTAAGAGCCTCACATTGTCAAATAGTACCTTTAGCCATTAATGACCATACCTTTGAGGTCATTATGTTCAAGTAAGGAAGTAGTATGGTCATTACGTTTGAGTAAGGAAGTAGATCATACTATATCCAATACCATAAAAAGAAGAATAGGATGCTCCTCATTACAAGGTTCACGAATGTACTGTCCAAAAAGGACATGAGATAAATGGTCCAATTGATTATATTGGAGCCTAAAGTTTTTTTCTAACACATCCCTAATTACATATTTGAAAATAGTCCAAACTCCAACCTATCATAAGCACAAAAAGGGAAATCCTAGCATTAAAGGCACATCCACTAAACAGAGTTTTCTAAAAGATAAACACCACACTAATACATATCTAATCATACCAGTTACACCAAGTGCCTCATTTTATTTTGTTCATTTAACTGCTTCATCAGCCAAAATGTACCTTATATATCAACTCCAAACAATACTAACAGAAATTCATAAACACAGCAATTTCAAACCCCTTTCCCAAAAGCAAAGAAATCATAGAAACCCAACAAAGTTCAATAAAAACACTACAAAAATATTAGTCCACCCCATAATGATAAGGAAAACAGAATTACTAGAAACAAAAACATTAATTTAAAATTCTTAACCATATAGCTTCAAACCTAACAAAACCCTGTTCAATAAAACAATAATCAACACAATAAAATATAGAAAAACAGCAAATTTACCAAATTAAAAATCAAAATAACGAATTATTATATTACCATGGAATTAAAATGATCTTTTAAACGAAGAAGCATGTTAAGAGACTCCTCTTTCAAAGAAACCAATTGCTGCTGAAAGCTAAGAGCTTTGCATTCTGCCGCCATAACTCTTGCTGCTGCTTCTTTTGAAGTGTTCATTATTACTTCTGCATATACTTTCTTCAATGCCTCCATTTTCATCTGCAACCCCAATACACCAATTCAGACCCAAATTTCATCCAGAAATAAATTAATTAAACAACAAATTAGAAACTGGATGTCAAACAATATATGTAGTAACTAAATAAATCATTTCAGACCCAAGATCAAACAAACAAATAATACAAATTCTATTAATAAAAAATAAATAAATAAAGGGTAACAAATTATAAAGATTACTACCAAAATTCTCAGAAATTGTATAACAAACTAATTAAAAACAAACAAAATCATTTCAAACCCAAAATAAAAAACAGAAATGGGTGACATAAATTAATAACAAAATTTAATTTTGATGTTGAAAATTCTGCAACCCAGATCATTATTACATAATTAAGTACCCAAAATTCACAATTTTAAATTTTTTTTTCAAAATAGAGAGTAAAAAAGAATGATTAATAGCAAATTACTGGATATTATTACAAGAATTGTACAAACAATTACCTGGGAATCATCTGCCATTGAAGGAAGATGGTTGAGTTCTTGAGTTTAGTGAATGAGGGTAGTGGAGTGAGGTCGTGTAGAATGTTGTTTCCCCCCTTTTTTCACTGTACTGGTACTATTTAGTTTGAAAGTACTGTTTTACCCTTTATTTGAGGTTAATTTTACGAGATAAGTCATTTATTTGTGAAGTGTAAATTTGTTATTTTTTTCGTCGTTTTAATGTGTTGGATGATTGAAACGCCGTGTTTAAGCCCTTTGTTGTAATGTGATTGACGATTATAACCTTTTAGGCGCTAAAAATTGAAAGAATGGGAATTAGTAGAATTGGTTAAATGCCATGCTGGTTATATTAGGCTAATTTGAATTAGGACAATTAAGAATTAGCATTTATCCAATTATTTGGTCCAAATTATCTAATTCAATATCTCGTAATAAACTGTGAGCCAACAGGTCTTGGCTGCACTCTACTGCAGCCAAGATGGCTACAACAAGGCCCAACAGCCGAAACACGAACGCGGACCAGACCACTAAAAACGGTCCACCCAACAAAATCCATCACTCTTTTTAAAAAAAAAACCGTCACTTTTAAACCACCATCATCAACATTGATTTCAACTTCTCCTCCCAAAAAATCATTTACTTCCCAACATCAATTTACTTTCTCTCTCCTTTCTCTAGTTTTCTCTCTCTAAAAAATTGCAAACTCCATGGAAAGTAAGCTTCAACCCAAATCTCTCTCTCTTCTCTGCAATTTTTTCTCACTTTTCTCTGTAATTATTCTCTTCTCTTCAATTTTTTCTCTCTCTAAAAAAAATTCAAAAATCAGCATGGATATTCAACAAGAACTCCATATATAAGCAAAGAATCTTACTTTTTTTTTTAACTGTCACTCTCAAACTTAAATTTCTAATATTTATTACTCCGTACTTCTCTATTTGATTTTCTCTCTCTAACAATCAATCACACAATTCACCCTCTCCAAAAAAACAACCATGGATATTTGAAATGAGATATAAAAAAAATGAATCCTTCCAAAAAAAAAAGGCAATTTTATGTTAATTTCACTTAATTTTGTTTGAATTTTTATGAATATCACTTAAATTCGTTTGAGTATTGTTAATTACTCTTTTGTTCGAAATTTTATTGAAAATATTAAAAAAAAATTAATGAAATCAAACGGATACAGTATGTTCATAAAATATTTTGAAATGTTCATAATATAAATATTTGTTGTTCATATGATAAATATTGTTAATGTTCATAAAATGTTCTCATTTTGTTTGTTTATGCTTATGTTCAAATTTTAATGCTTATGTTCACTTTCTGAAAATGCATATGTTCAATTTCTTAAATGCTTATATTCATATATTTGAATGCTCAAGTAAACTTTCTGAAATGAATATGTTCACTTTTTGAAATTCATATGTTCATATTTTTTTATGTATATGTTCACCTTTTGAAATTCTTATGTTCATACACATTCAAAAAATGAACCAATGCATATGTTCATATTTTGAATGCGTATATTCATTTTCAAAAATGCATATATTCATATTTTTAATGCATGTATGTTCATATTTCGTAACACTTATAATGCGTATCTTTCATAATCATTTTCTTCAAATTTCTTATGTTCATAATTAAAGGTCATAAATTCAATTCATATGAATTATATGTTTACAAACCTAATGTTTGTGAAATCAAACGGATACAGTATGTTCATAAAATGTTTTGAAATGTTCATAATATAAATATTTGTTGTTCATATGATAAATATTCTCTATGTTCATATAATGTTCTCATTTTGTTTATTTATGCTTATGTTCAAATTTTAATGCTTATGTTCACTTTCGGAAAAAGCATATGTTCATATTTTTTTATGCATATGTTCAATTTTTTAAATGCTTATATTCATATATTTGAATGCTTAAGTAAACTTTCTGAAATGTATATGTTAACTTTCTGAATTCATATGTTCATAATTTTTTATGTATATGTTCACCTTTTGAAATTCTTATATTCATACACATTCAAAAATGAACCAATGCATAGGTTCATATTTTGAATGCGTATGTTCATTTTCTAAAATGCATATATTCATATTTTTAATGCATGTTCATATTTTGTAAAAACTTATGATGTGTACCTTTCATAATCATTTTCTCCAATTTTCTTATGTTCATAATTAAAGGTCGTAAATTCAATTCATATGAATTATATGTTCACAAACCTAATCAAATCGATCATAATACATTACAAAATCACCACCTAATATAATCGAAATTCATACATAGATCAAATTGATAGAAATTTAACAAAATACAATTACAATTGAATATAACCTTTCAAAAAAAACTTAAATGAACACGTCCAAAAATAAAAATGTAAATAACAAAGTTGCTGCTCATTTCCAACTTCTTTCATCATTAATTTGGATACTTCGGCTTGTACTCTCTGAAAAAATAAAAATAACAAAGTGTTCATGACCTGCACAATAGATGTTCATAAAGTGGACTACGAATGTTCACAATGATTATATATAGTGAAATAACAGTGTTCATTGTTTGGTGAATTGAATGTACATTGCTCACTTCTGGAGAATGAATGTTCATAGTATAGAAATGGAATGTTCATATTGAATATATATATGTGTTCAAAATGTAAATCATAAACGAATACAATGTTAAATGTATTAAATGTTCATATAATGAACTAAAAAAAAATCAATTAAAAAAAACATAACATATTAAGCAATTCAAGATTTCGTAACTTATTGAAGAAATCAATAGCAATTGTAAATTGAAATAGTGCAATTCATCAAAATGTAGATAGTTTTTCAACAAATTCATGAAATTCATAATTATAAAATCACAAAATGAATCTAAAAATGCAGAACAACATTTATCAAATTATAAAATCAGATTAGCAAGATGAATCATCAAATTCATTGAATTCATCAAAATCAATGTCATCAACATCAATTAATCAATAGTATATTGAAATTCATAAAATTATAAAATATAAACTAATTAATTATAAACAACACAAAAACTAACCTCCATTGATGATTTCATGAGGAATAGCAACCACCTCCATTATTAAGTAAAGAACAGAGGAGAGAGAAAATCTTGATTAAAAGAGAAGAAGAAGAGAGAGAAAATATCAAATGGAATAAAAGAAAAAGGAGAGAGAAAATTGCAACAAAAAAGGAATCAATCCATATACGAAGTAAATGACATAAGAAAAGGGGGATATTCAGTGAAGTTCTAGCAGGAAGAAGGGAAAGTTGAAGGAGAAAATAGCAAATTGTGTTTCATTAATAAAGACCTGCGTTTTGGCTTGTTGCAGCCATCTTAGCTGCGTTAGAATGCAGCCAAGAATTTGTAACTGTGAGCGATTGTATAATTTAATTGGAGGTAGCTTTTTGGGTAACCTATGATACTAGGATCAATAGGTAGTAATTGCTTTGTGTCATAGTTGTTGAATATGATCTACATTAAAATTGGCTTGATCTATGTAAAATCTACCGTATCAAAGCCATGTTATATTTGTTTCATACCAAATTGAGTTATATTCTTGTCATGTTATACTACCTCCGTTCTAAATTACTCGCAACTTTGGAATATTTTATATCTCACAAATAATACCTCAAATTTGCGAATAATTTGGACCAAAGGTAGTATTAGGGATGGCAATGGGTCGGGTTGAATGGGAGACCCGCCCCATCCCCGCCCAAGTAGGGCGGGAATGGAGGGAGGTTTGGCGGGTGATGGGGCGGGGATGGGTATAAAATGTGTACCCGCCATGAGTAATGGGGCGGGTATGGATTTTAGAGTAGACCCGCCCCGTACCCACCATATGCCTGTACCATATTTCTTTTAAAAGAGTTGAGAATTTATGAAACTTGATTACTCCATAAGTCCTAATAAACTTGAATAGTGAAAGTCCCAATTTTCTTAACCTAATTTGATATAATTGTCATTAATGTGGTACAATAGAGCATCATGGAAAAGGGTTTGGGACGATTTTGGGGCGAGTATGAGGTGGGTATTGTTGACCTTATGTTTTGATGATGACTCAAGGAATCTAAGCAAACCCATATAAGTTTAACTTTCGTTTTTAGCTTTGATTAATGACAGGTTTATGCTATGAAATTCTTGAGTGAAAAGGGAGCATGGAACAAGGTCTAAGTCAGCTATGGGAGGATAAAGAAGTCAATCACAATTCGTGTTCCTTTATTGAGGAACTGAAGCTCCAGAGTTGAAGCTTCGAAGGCAAGTTCCTTGAGAGAGGAACTGAAGCTTCAGAGTCGAAGCTTCTTAGAGTTTCAAGGAGTCTAATGTATTTTATCTTCATTTTAGGCTTCTTGTATTTATGCTAAGTACAATGATAATTTAGTACTTAAGTGGATTTAATTTTATATATGATAAAGATTTTATTTTCCATATTTTAACTTGTTAATTTTCGAAAATATCTTTTGTGAAAAGACTTTTTGTTTTGTTCATGCCTATCTTTTTGGGAAATCGATTTTTGAAAATCTTTATATAAACGCGTGTTTACTTTGTCAAAAGTATTTTTGAGAAAATTAAGGAAGCAGTAAAACCACTTCCTTTAGTTGCGGTTTTACTTGCTGCCCAAGATCCCACTCCTTACACTTCCTAATATAAAGGGAGTTGTGGTTGAGTGGTGATTGAGGCAACAACTATTTTAACTTCCTAATTCTTCTATAAATAGCTTCGGTTTTCTGTTAAGAAAAAACACACTTGAGCATTACAGTCTTTTAGCTTCCAAAAGAGTCATAATCCACTTAAGTTCTTGAGTGTCTTTGTACTTTGCAATTTAGAGTTTAATCTTGAGTTGTATTGGGATAGAGTTTGGGGAAACTCTAAGAGTGTTTTTAATGCTTTGAGTGAAGCAAGGAGAAAGAGAGAGTTAGAGAGATCAACTAATTGTGGGATCAGTTGAAGGGAGCTTGAGTTCGTTGAGGAACTTAAGTTTAGAGTCTAATTTGTAATAGGTTGTTTGCCCTATTATTATTAAGAGTTGAGTTTAAAATCCCTTGTGATCGTAGTTTTTCTTCTTGATTAGGGCCAAGAAGTTTTCCACGTAAAATCTCTCTTTGCACTTTTAGTTTTTGTTTGAGTTCCTTTATAAATTCCGCAAAAATTACCCCAATTCCTCTACAATACAATTCACCCCCCCTCTTGTATTGTTCATTCGAGTCAACAGGTATGAATATCCAAGTGGGTGATGGGGCGGGGACGGATCATATCTTGTACCCGGTGGGGGTGGGTATGGATGTGGATATTGTACCCGCCACTGGTGGTGGGGCGGGGATGGGTATAAGATTTTTAGGCGGGTATGGGTATGGAGGTACCATCATCCGCATCCGACCCACCCCATTGCCATGAATCAATCAAGATTCATCTATTCAAATTTAATTTGACTTTTATTAAAATTTAAAAAATAATAATAATAAAAAAAAAACTCAGGCGCCATTCAATTTTGAACTTAGGTTGTCTTAGGTCAAATTTAGAATGGGTTTATGGGAGGTGAATTCAAATCTAAGTTTACTTTAGGGTTGATATAGGGTTTGATAAACTTTAAGTTGTGTCATTCTTGGTTTTCAATAGGATCAGTATTGATTTCAGTCAAGTTGGATTTAGGTTATGTTTACTTCACCTTATTTTTACTTATTTCAGAAGAAAAAAAAAAATTCATATTAGATCAGGAAAAAAAAAAAGTTCAGATCAAATCAGAAAAAATAAGTTCATATCAGATCATCTATTTATGTGCATTTTTTATCACTAAATATCTTTAATTTTGTAATGAAAAAAATTCTGAAAATTACATATTAATAAAGTACACATTGTTACGAATCTAACAAGACCGCACTTGATGCATTTTTTCCGTATAGATTATCGTATATTTAAGGTCAAAGTTTGGTCAAATTTGACATTCAGATCAGATCAGATCAAAACCAGATCAGAGTAGGCCAGACCAGATTGATTAGTTCGAATAAGCATATATAAGGCGAGCTAAACAAAGCCTTATATAATTACACTTTTTATAATTCAATAGAGTGACTATTTGCCTTAAAAAACCTATATAATTTCCAACAAGAGGTATATACTATACCTATGATTTGATCCTAAAGTCATATTTATTGTTTCGAAAAAGGTAATTTGATAAAATGTATCCATGCAAGTAAGCTCTTTTCTCCTCCAAATATTTGATAACTAGTTTAGAACCCGTGCTATGCCAATTTTATAGCACAATCATACTTTTATTATTCGTTTATTAAAAAAAACATATAAAATGAAATCATTGTTTGTAAAAAAAAATAAAAATAAAAAATATATAATAAACATTGTATTGAGATGTTTTATAGTTAAGTAAAGTGAGAAGGAAGGAGTATGGAGTAATAATATTTTTAGTATTCGTAATACACAATTTTTTATATGTAGCTGGCTACACCGTGTGGCGAGGTTACTTGAGTTACTCGATCAGTGGTTACTCGAGTTACCCGGTCATGGGTCACTTAAGGGGTTCAGTCAGGCAGTGGCGTATCCAGGAACTCCGAAGAGTGGGTTCAAAATCGTAAATAAATAAATAAATAAATAAATAAATAAATGAAATGAAAATACATTCATTAAAAATTCAATACATAAGTTCAAATTTGGAATTACAAATTTTCATAATTTGGTAACATGAACCACATCATCATAAACTCCAGCAAATAAAGTTTCTCTCCAGAAAAATGACTAAACAATCATTCAAGCGGGTTTCTCGACACGTTTCAAGAAAGACTCTAAACTCATGGTGGAAACAAGAAACTCCATAATCTACATTATTATCAAGCAACATTCATATGATTATTAATTTATCCATAAAAAATTAAAGATTCAATTGTAACGTAAAATTCTAGTTTTTAATATAGTAAAGGAAAAATTAGAAAATAACACCCAAAAATTATCACGATTTTGATAATAACACCACCAAAAAAAAGTTTTTATTATAACACCACAAAAAAAATCAAAAATTTGGTTTCACCACCACTTAACTTTGCCATCCAAAAAAATCGTTAAGTGGGCCCCACACAGTACACGTGTCAATCAACTATTGGATAAAAAAATCAAAAAAAAAAAAAGAAAAGAAAAACTCTATAATCCTAACCCAGCCACCATCACCACCATCGGCGCCGGTTTCTACCGCCGTTAACTTGACCCTACCATGGCCGACACCCCAACCCAACCCCTATCACTGTCTCCCAGACGTCACCGAACCACCCAGACCCCAACCCAAACAAGCCAACCCCCATCATCGTCTCCCCGATCCGAATCCATCGCCAAACCACCCAAATCCAACCCTAACCAGCCCAGCCACCGTACTCCTCTACCAAACCCAACCAATATTCGTCGCCAAACCGCCGTACCCATACCCAAACCCACTAACCGCCCTACTCCTCTCACCCTCACCTTGAACCAAATCGGGGCTGGTTAATTCGTGGGTGTTTGGGCATATTTCGACAGTCAAGGGGTGGTCGGTTGGCTGGTTTTGTGGGTCGAGGTTGGTCGGTTGGGATTGGGTGAAGGCGGTGGAGGCTGGGTTGGAGAATGGCGGTAGGAACGGCGGCGCCGATGGTGGCTGGGTCTTTTAAGGGTTTTTTCCTTTTTTTTGTTTTTTTATTTATTTTAATCCAATGCATAATTGACACGTGTACAATGTAGGACCCACTAACGGTTTTTTGGATGAAAAAGTTAAGTGGTGGTGAAATCAAAATTTTTGGTTTTCTGGTGGTGTTATAATCTAAGTTGTTTTTTTTTTTTTGGTGTTATTATCAAAATCGTGACAATTTTTTGGTGTTATTTTCTAATTTTTCCTATAGTAAATTAAGAGATGTGCCCAATGAATTCCCTAGATATACAAAATGGGGTATAAATGTATTTTCAAGTACCAGTGGAAGGGTAAATGCATCTTTTCACGTACTAGTTGAGGGGTATATGTGTAATTTCCTCACGAAACAGTAAATGCAAGTTGCAAACAGTAAAAAAATAGCTCAGCAAAACAACTGAATAAATGACCACGCTTTTTCAATATATTTACAAAAATGTCACCAGATTAACAAAAATTCGTTTATCTGACAGATAAACTTGTATTTGACGATAAATTAATATTAAACCAAAATTAATCAAGTATCAAAGCTAAAATCTCTAAATAATCTAGCATTCCAAGTTCTAACTCCAAAAAATCAATGTTACACACAACACAAAAAACCCATTATACAGATATAATGTACTTTATCAATCTCCAATTAGAAAACTGTTAGGTACATACTCCATCAAAGCATCAATTACCAATAAAAAAAATCTCCAACAAGTAAGACTATTCTTCCACAATCAATTATCCAATTATATATCAACTCATTAGAGCTTCTCTCCCGATTCTAGGAGATCCTGGTATCGATTCTCACCCCCGCCCTTGTGGCTCTTTAAACACCCAAAAAAACTCAGCAATATGCAATTATCAATCAAATTAAAAATGGAACTTATTTATGGTTTCAAGGGTGTGGGAATTTGGGGGGAAAATGAAAAGTTGAGAAATAAATTTAATAACCCAATAGACCTGATAATAAAAAAATACCACTAAGTTGCGCTTGTATATGTTGGACATTTTTTTAAAAATAAACTGGAGCATATCAATTAATTAAGAAAAAGACCAAAGTTTACAAAATTAGGAACAACAAGCATAATGCTTGGATCCATGAACCTGCCGCAGCAGCTGATCATCAACCCCATGCAACTAAGCCAAACAGTCATAAAAAAGGAATACTACACAACCCACACGTTTTGTTACAAATCAAGAAATTGCTAAAACACCAGCAAAAGGAGCGCAACACACTTTAGACACTCCCTGCAAGGTCGTCCTCGTACACATCCTTTGCAACAACTGGTACCTCATCAAAGAATTTAGCCCCAAATTCAGTTCCCATTGCAATAGCCAACCTGCCCTCCTCCATTGCCATTTTAGCAAGGTTATGAGCCACCCTATTTGCCTCCCTTGGTACATACTTGAAGGTGAAAGTGCATCCTTTGTCCAACAGCGCCTGCATATCCATAAGGATTACTGCATACTCATGGGTTCCATATCTCGCCACATTTTCTATTGTTTTCTTGAGGTTGAGAGCATCAGTCTCAATCGTCACCTCTTTAAGCTGCGCATCCACAACCATTTGCATCCCACCACGCATAGCCATTAGCTCCACCTGTTCCGAGTTGCTAGCCGTGACAGTCCATGCCTTACCAAAAAACCATGTACCATCAGCTAGCCTTGCAACTGCTCCAGCACCAACAATGTGGCCGTTTTTTGCGCCAGGCCCCATCTGTATTCATCTTAATGCACACTACTTGCGGTCTTTGCCATCTTGTTTCACGTATGAGAACAGTAGGAATTTTCCCTTTTCCCTGAAAAATATTAAGAGTTGCATCCAAATCCAACTTATATTTTATAAACAGGGTAATGGGGTGATAAATTGCCAATTGAAAAACCGTATAGTTACGAGCCTTCCAAATGTGCCACAAGGCCACCGCAAAAGTGATTCTCCAAGTAGTACTTAGCTTCAGATTATAATCCACCCATACTTCCCAATTAATGTTGATAAAAGTGTGAAAATTAAAGTCTTTATCCATTTTATTCAAGGAAAAAATCCTAGACCAAAGAGTTCTAGAGTTTATGCAATCCCTAAATAAGTGTAGGTGACTCTCCTCTTCAAGACTACATCTAGTACAAATCGGATCAAAATTATCAATTCTTTCGGCCAATACAGTAGCAGTGGGTAAGATTTGATGACTTGAGTTCCAAACAAGCATTTTGTACTTGAAGGGGATAAGAATGTGCCATAGGCTCTTCCAACTAATAGAGGGAAAAGAGGGATGGGAAACATAGTTAGAGGCTAACTTATAAGCACTTCTAATAGAAAAAAGACCATTCGACTCTATAACCCAACATAAGTTATCATCAACCAAAACATTATGAGGGAGGGGAATATTTTCAATTAATTTACAAAGGAAGTCCGGGATGATGTGTTTAATTTTATTAGTATTCCACATTCTATTATCAATGATATGGTTAACCCCCCAATGAGCCATAGAGTTAGGAATAGGTTTATCAATGACTAAGTAGATTGGCTTACCCCTACCCAATGATGAAACCAAAGACAAATGTCCTTTCCATTCCCGTTCTATAGGTAATCCCTTTCATAAGGAGCTCCTTTCCTTTGAGGATGTCCCTCCAAAGGGGGGAGTCACTGCTATTAGGAATGCAATTGAGAAAGGTCGATCTTTTGAAATACCTAGCATGAAGAATTTTGACCCAAAGCTTATCCGGTTCCTTAATAATTCTCCACCCAAGTTTATCCATAAACACAAGGTTCCAATTTTTAAGGTTACGCATACCAAGACCACCCAAACCCAAGGGAAGACAAACCTTATCCCAACTAGTCCTAGGAAGGTAGTGGGCTTTGTCCACCTTATTCCAAAGAAAACGTCTACAACTTCTTTCAAGTTCCTCAAGAACTGCATTAGGAAGAAGGGTAGTTTGCATCACATAGAGGGGATAAGAGTTAAGCACAGATTTTATCAAAGTACATCTACTGGCCATATTAAGAAGCTTAGCTTGCCACCCTTTGATCCTACTTTTTGTTTTATTAAGGAGATCCACATAATCCGCAATTTTAAGTCTATTAGGGCTAATGTTCACCCCTAAATATTTCCCGAAAGAAGGAGCACCCTTAATATTGGAAAAACTAAGGATAGCCCTTTTGAGGGATAAGCACATTTTTGGGGGGAAAATGACTTTAGATTTAGTGGGACTAATAAATAAACCTGATTTATTTCCAAACTCAAGAAGCACCTCCATAATAGCATTAACATTGCCCACTGACGCCTTTGCAAAAAGAAACACATCATCGGCATAGAAAAGGTGAGAAATACTAACATCATGGCCAATTTTAATCGGATCCCAATTCCCTTCCCCCACTTTCTGCTCAATTAACAAATATAATCTTTCGAGACAAAGAACAAAAATGTAAGATGAGAGGGGATCCCCTTGTCTAATCCCTCTAGAAGGAGTAAAAATCTCCGTAATTTCCCCATTCCATAAAATGGAAATGGGTGGAGTAGTAATACAACTTAGGATTAGATTAACAAGAGAAGAAGGAAAATTAAAACCCATTAAAGTTTCCCTAATAAAACCCCATTCTAAGCTATCATAGGCCTTGGATATATCGATTTTGAAAGCCATACGGTGTTTTTTTCTTGCTTTTTTAAAAAAGTGAGCAATTTCCTTTATGACTAAAATATTCTCATCGATAGATCTTCCATCTATGAAGCTAGAATGAACTGGATTGATTAAATTCCCTAGTAAAGGTTTAATTCTATTAGCCACAATTTTAGTTATGAGTTTATAAAGGGAAATTTTGTGTAGAACTACCTTAAAGATAGGGTCATTTGTGAACAACGATCCTTTTATTTTAATCTGTTTAAAACTACCCGCAAGTTTGGAAAATTTTGGGTAGCACTACCCACTAACGTTTTTCGTCCAGTTAAAACGTTATTTTGGTCCAATTTTTCACTTTTTTCAATTACAATAGCCAATTAATACTAAAATAAGCAAAAACCCCAATTCAATTAATCCTCCAAACCTTAGAAATTAAAATCCCCAAATAATATATACTCATGAACCCTAAAATGAATTATGATTAAAACCCTAATTAGGTTAATTAAAGTAGATTAAAACCTTTATACAAATTGGGAGAGTTAATTGGGTGGCAAAAGTGAAAAAAATGAGCTCCGATAACGTCTTAATTGGACGGAAAATGTTAATGGGTAGTGATACCCAAATATTTTCAAACTTGTGGGTAGTTCTAAAAAAATAAAAAAAATTGGGTAGTTGTTCACAAATGACCCTATCTTTAGGGTAGTTCTACACAAAATTTCCTTTATAAATAGAATTACATAACCCGATAGGTCTAAAATCATTCATAGTTTCCGGATGCTCCGTTTTAGGAATTAAACAAATAAAGGATTTATTCACATAATCCGGTATTTTACCCTCCCTGAAACAATTAGTCACAAGATTTACAATGGAGCCTCCCACAACATCCCAATATTTTTGGAAGAACCTAGGCTGAATCCCATCCGGCCCCGGATTTTTCATAGGAGCCATAGAAAAGAGAGCGTTTTTAATTTCCATGAAACTGACCTCGCTAGCAAGAAACTCCAAGTCATCATTATTAACAATCTCCCTAGGGGCGAAATTAACAGTTCTAGGTTGGCTAATCTGTTTAGACATAAACACCTTTTTAAAGTGATTAACACACATTAACCTAAGCTTGACTTGATCATCAATCCACCCCCCGACTTATCCTTTAAGCTAAGGATCTTATCCTGACTGTTTTTAACTTTGGCCAAAATATGAAAATACCTAGTGTTCCAATCCCCATATTTTCTCCAATCTACCCCCGCCTTTTGAGCCCATTTAATACGTTCCAATTTAATCACATCATTAAGCTCAATTAAAAGCGTTTTTTCAAGATTAATAAGAAAGGATGAGTGTCTTGCAATAAGCACTTTTTGGATACCGAGAATTCTTGCAATGAGACGATTTTTAGTCTGAATGTTGGCATTAAAAACAAATTTGTTCCATTGCTTAACATCATTAGTGAAATTCACGGTAGATTCATAGAAATTATTTCCTTTTTCCCATGCATGCTTAAAAAAATTGTCAAAACTAGGGTTTTCAATCCATGCCTCCTTACATCTAAAAGGATAAATACCATTATGAGTAATGCAACAAGTATTAACCATAATAGGGCAATGGTTAGAGTAAGTACGAGCCAAGTGACATACCTGAGTTTGAGGGTAAACTTTCAACCATTCGGCATTAGCAAGTGCCCTATCGAGCCTTTCCCTAATTAGTTCCGTTCCTTCTCTCCCATTATTCCAAGTAAAAGTTGGACCATTGTACCTCATATCAATTAAGCCCTCTCTATCAGTCATCTTCGAAAAATCCCTTCCTTGGGAGTTGGTCACGGGTCTACCACCCATTTTTTCCGACTGATTTACCACCTCATTCATATCCCCCATTAGTAGCCATGGAGTATTAGAAGGGGGTGGATTTTCTCCAAGATTATTCCACAACATAATTTTATCTTTCGCAGCACTAGGAGCGTGCACACCCGTTATAAGCACCTCGAGATCAGCAGGAGATAATTTAAAAAGAGCGTGGAGAATATGAGGTGGGTTAGCAACAATATCCATGAGAATTGCGGGCTTTCACCAAAGTAACCATATTCCACCCCTTATACCTTGAGGAGGAATTGTTTTAAAATCCTCAAAACCTAGTCTTTTGCACAACCCTTGAGCAATTTCATCAGTAGATTTTGTCTCAAGAAGAAACAAAACATCTGGATTTTGCATTTGCACCATCTCAATTTCATGCGGGGCAAAATCCTTACTAGTAGCACCTCTTACATTCCATAGGATTGCTTTCATATTTACCCAAGGAAAAGGAAATTCAGGGAAAATTCCCATGCTTTGCTCACGAAAATTATTCGTGGTTAGAAAAAGCCTCCCCCAATCCTTCCATTGGTTGAGCTTCCCCAACGCCCATATGTCCTCCATTGATAGCGGAGATGCTATCATTTGAATCTCCTTAATGAGGTTCCCTGTATTCACAAATTGAAGGTCCAATTCGAACCCCACCACATTCCTTCGGGTTTCCAGAATTGTCATCAAGTTGTCGCTCTCCATCAAATTTCGGGTCTGACTTATCAATTGCAATGGTAGGATTGGTGGGTTTCTTGGTGGGATTTTTGTAGGGATGAACAAGTTTTCGTAATCTGGTTGACCGGGAGGTGTGAGGCGCATCATCATAATTTGAATATCTGTCTCTATTATATTCAACTTCTCGATTGGTGGGAGGGTTAATTTCAATACCGGCCATAGGTGAGGGGTGTGAAAGGTTGGGAATAGGTGTTGTGTTTGTGATGAAGCTGAGGCCCGGGATAGAATGGATTGGGTTTGACCCTTGTACGATAGGTAAGGTGGGATAATGGTGGGGGCTATTGGAGGTGAGAGAAGGCTGAATTGGGATGGGTGATAGGGGGATAGGCAGGTTATTTGTGGGTTTCTCGGAGCTTGCATCGGGTTGAGTACATTTCTGGGTTGAATCGCTTGGAGGGGTTGTTGTTCGTTGCTGTGTGCTGCCTCGTTCAGATTCTCCATTGACACGGGTTGTTTCAGCAGTTGCAGGGGAATTTTGCGAAGAAGTAATGGCAATAGTAGATTCAGAAGGAGGGCAAACGGGGGATAAAGGAATTGAATTTGAAAGGCCATTGGCCGTTGACGTTGAAGCCCCATTGGTTGGAACATGGTATTTTGTTCTTGGATCCTTGCTGCCATTAATGTTGGTAATTCCCAACCTTAATGTTTTTTCTGGGAAAACCTCCTGCTTCTTTCCATTGTTTTTTGCTGCTTCCCTATGCGAAATTGTTTTTTTATTTTTTAATTCTAACCCTTCATTCTCCTCTATTGGCAAGATATCCCATTGTATTTTTTTATTCCTAGCCTGGCGGCTACCTACATCCCTATTTTGCTTACTTTTACCTTTCTCAACAGAATATCTATCCTTTGGATTTTTGTTCTCTCCCTCCAACTTTCCTTCCTTTTTGTAATTGCCATCCTTCCTAAATTTTTTTTTCTTTGGTGCCGCCAAAACCCAAGGCCCATACACCTCTACCTCCTCTTGCTGCAACTCTATATCTCCTTCCTTTTCTTTTTGCAGAATGCTAGTATTAGCACTAGCTTTGTTGTGTTCAGCACAATTTTGTATTAAAAAATCCTCTTTCCTGCTGCCCTCCAACATAGGCGTGTGTAAACACCCATTTTCGTCTCCCCAAAACCAAACCCGGTGATGAGTACCATTCGCGTCGAATCATAATCGAATAAAACGAAAGTGTGGAAAGGTCTGGTGTTGCGGATAATTTTTATTTCTTTTCTCTTCTCTTTGTTTTTGAAAACTTATTTTAAGAAAACAGCCAATCCAGTTTGGTTGGTCCATGATATGGGTCCAATAGTAGTGTAGTTGGATGGGGCTTGCAAAGACCTTTCCAACGATATATTATAAGCCCAATTCCGATGAATATTGAGGAAATTATGGTCAATTTACTAAACTGGGCCCGGTTTGAGCTTTATGTACGGCCCAATGATCTAGGGGAGGGCCTAATATGATTTATCATTCCTAATGCAATTAGGAATGGTTTTAGTCTTCTAGAATGTTCTTTTCATTCCTAATTCAATTAGCATTGATAAATTGACTTTTGTTTACTTTTCAGAGTTTTAATCAAAATCAAATAGCATTTTCGAAGAAATTATATTATTTTATCCTCCAGTATGGTAAACTTATCGGATTTTCGAAAACGAGTTAAATTTGAGCTTGGCGTTTGACCCCAGGCCTTGGCGCCTGACGCTAGCCATTGGCGCCTGGCGCCAGCAAGCCAGGGTTGGCGCCAGCCCTGTTTTCTGAGCGTCAGACTCTGTTTTGTTTAATTTATCTTTTTGGCTGATTTCTCTATAAATATCGTATTAAAAACTCCGTTTTCATTCACCAATTATCATCATCTACATTCATTCACCAATTCTCCTCATTCGCAAGTTTTCATCAACAATCATTAATTCTTTAGCATTCTCTAAATCATTCATCTCTCTTAAACATTCAATTCTTTATTACTTTGCTTTTTATATACAAAATTCCGCATTCGCAAGATCTAGAAACACCTAGCCATATTCGAAGTTGCCTTCGCCCTAGACGTGAAAGGTTTTAATTTCTGAGGGTTTGGTCCCAAATCTCTCTTTCAATTATTTAATTTAATTGTTTGTTTATTATTTTCCTTGAAGTTACTAACGTGTGTATTTTGTTATTAGAAAGAGGTACGAGGCATCAAAGTAAGTACTTTATTGATTAATTGATATTATGATGTAGACATCATGTTTATATTGTTATTATGATATTCCTAGTATCATGTCTAGGGTAATTTTAATATTAAATATGATTGTTGTGATGCTTCCTATGTTCTTCCTAATATTTATTCATGTTAGGGTTAAAGATTTGATTTTTATTGCTTAGTGACATGCTAGGGTTTGTTATTAATCTTGTTAGTATCATGCCTAGGATCTTGCTATTATTATGCTTTAATATTAACGTGAACATGATTATGATTATAATTATTATAATTTATGATTATGATGATTATGAATATTATTATTATTATTATTTTGATGATGATTATTATTCATGATTATTATTGTGATATTTATTATTGTTGCTTGATATATATTTGTGTCTCCCCAAAACCAAACCCAGTGATGAGTACCTTTCGCGTCGAATCATAATCGAATAAAATGAAAGTGTAGAAAGGTCTAGTGTTGCGGATAGTTTTTATTTCTTTTCTCTTCTCTTTGTTTTTGAAAACTTATTTTAAGAAAACAGCCAATCCAGTTTGGTTGGTCCATGATATGGGTCCAATAGTAGTGTAGTTGGATGGGGCTTGCAAAGACCTTTCCAACGATATATTATAAGCCCAATTCCGATGAATATTGAGGAAATTATGGTCAATTTACTAAACTGGGCCCGGTTTGAGCTTTATGTACGGCAAAATGATCTAGGGGAGGGCCTAATATGATTTATCATTCCTAATGCAATTAGGAATGGTTTTAGTCTTCTAGATTCTTCTAGAAGGTTATTTTCATTCCTAATTCAATTAGCATTGATGAATTGACTTTTGTTGACTTTTCAGAGTTTTAATCAAAATCAAATAGCATTTTCGTAGAAATTATATTATTTTATCCTCCAGTACGGTAAACTTATCGGATTTTCAAAAACGCGTTAAATTTTAGCTTGGCGTCTGACCCCAGGCCTTAGCGCCTGGCGCTAGCCATTGGCGCCTGGCGCTAGTGCTGGTGCCTGGCGCCAGCAAGCCAGGGTTAGCGCCAGCCCTATTTTCTGAGCGTCAGACTCTGTTTTGTTTAATTTATCTTTTTGGCTGATTTTCTCTATAAATATCGTTATAAAAACTTCGTTTTCATTCACCAATTATCATCATCTACATTCATTCACCAATTCTCCTCATTCGCAAGTTTTCATCAACAATCATTAATTCTTTAGCATTCTCTAAATCATTCATCTCTCTTAAACATTCAATTCTTTCTTACTTTGCTTTTTATATACAAAATTCCGCATTTCGCAAGATCTAGAAACACCTAGCCATATTCGAAGTTGCCTTCGCCCTAGACGTGAAAGGTTTTAATTTCTGAGGGTTTGGTCCCAAATCTCTCTTTCAATTATTTAATTTAATTGTTTGTTTATTATTTTCCTTGAAGTTACTAACATGTGTATTTTGTTATTAGAAAGAGGTATGAGGCATCAAAGTAAGTACTTTATTGATTAATTGATATTATGATGTAGACATCATGTTTATATTGTTATTATGATATTCCTAGTATCATGGCTAGGGTAATTTTAATATTAAATATGATTGTTGTGATGCTTCCTATGTTCTTCCTAATATTTATTCATGTTAGGGTTAAAGATTTGATTTTTATTGCTTAGTGACATGCTAGGGTTTGTTATTAATCTTGTTAGTATCATGCCTAGGATCTTGCTATTATTATGCTTTAATATTAGCGTGAACATGATTATGATTATAATTATTATAATTTATGATTATGATGATTATGAATATTATTATTATTATTATTATTATTATTTTGATGATGATTATTATTCATGATTATTATTGTGATATTTATTATTGTTGCTTGATATATATTTATTATTTATTGCTTTATCACGCCTTTATGCATGTTTAAAGGGAATTTGTACTTGTAGTCACGCTTAATAAGATATTTAATAATCTTGTTAGGGTTAATGTGATTATAATTCAAGGGATCGCCAATAATAGATTTGTTTGTGCATTAATACTCAACCAACATAGATTAAACAGGTTTAGGGTTAATCCTATTGATTGCATGCTAATTAAAAAGCGCACATGAATACGATCAGAATAAAGTATAGGCCTATTATTAGGGCAGGTTCAATCTCTTTTAGGTTGGATTTGTACCTTCATCCCCGAACCCTTATTTGGTTCATGACCTTATGGAGTTTACGATCTCTTGGATCGTTAAGGGGTGTAACCTTCACCTCGTGAATGGTTTACAAGTTCCTAAAAAACTTGTTGGCGACTCTTTTGCTCTATCTTCTT